GATGGAGAAAGTGCTGGCATTTGAACTGGATTTTAAAGTAGGTGTGGGTTCTGCAGGTGCTATATGCAGAAGGACGTTTCAGAAACTTAAGGAATCAGCAGATGAAAGTGGCTGAGTTATCTTCTGAAAAGCTGAAGACCTGTGTGGCTTGAGCGAGAACTCAGAAGCAACGTGGGGTGGCAAGTGGAGGAAAGGTGAGCTGGTAAGGAATTTGGACCTGAATTATAGAGCCCCATGATACCAAGCTAGAGAGCTAAGATTTACTTCTGTAAGCCATGGGTGTTGGCAGACGTCAGCGGGACGTCCTGCTGGACAGGCTCACTGTCCTGGAGCACCTGCTGCTCTTCGCAGCCATCAGGTCGCCGCAGTGGACGCGGGCGGAGCGCTGGCAGCAGGTGGACAAGTGAGTGGGGTCCCTTCGGGGCTGCCTGCTCTGTGAGGCCGTGAGGGGAACAGGAAGCGGCGCTTCGGAAACAGGGGCAGCGCCTTTATCACGAGAGGAAGTGAGCATACAGCTCCTGATGGCGGTGACACGGCCGCCAGCCCTGGGCCCCGAGGAGCGTCTGGGGGTCTCGCTGACTCGCCCTGAAGGGGGTGGAGGGCACGGTGTGTGTGGGTGGCTGCCAGTGTGTCGGTGCCGTGGACCTGGGTGCAGGGCGAGTGCACTGGGGGTGAGGACAGGGGCTGGAGCTTCGTCGTGCAGGGGTGGCCCTGGCAGCGCAGGGGTCATTGAGGGCAGGACAGAGAGCAGAGCCCAGAGCCAGGCCTCCCTCGAGGAGAGGAGAGAAGTCGGGGACCTCGGCCAGGCCTGGGTCGGGGGTGCTGTTGGCAGCCAGCTCAGCGCCTGGAGCTGCGGGAGGCTGGCTTGTTGGGTGGTGATGGGCGTCGGGGGCGTGTGTGCAGGGGGACAGCGGGGGAGGCTAAGGACCGAGCCCTTGTCACTCCGACTGGAGGAGGTTGCAGAGGTGAGGGGAGCCCGGCAGGGAGGAGGGAGGCACATCCACGAGAAGGAGGTCAGGTGCAGGGATGCTGTGGAGGGTCCATCAGGGAAGACTGAGAAATGAGCTCTGGGCGGAGAACGCTGGGCCTCGGTGACCGCGGTGGCATGTGGAGGAAGGTCACACGGTCGTTCCAGAGAAGGAAGGAGTTTTGCTGCAAAGGAGCAAAGACATGGGACGGATGGGGATGGGAAAGTGAGGTGACGCAGGAGGCGCCGCCAGCACCCGCGGCCGAGG